GGGCCGGGGGCGGGGCCTGGACGGGGCGGGGCGTCCGCGGGGCCCCGAGGGTAGGGTGTCAGGTGAGGAAACTGAGGCTTCCACGGTGCATGCAACCTCCGTCTCATCCAGGATACCGACTAGGACGAGATTCCTCACCCTGTGAACCTCAGTTTCCTCGTCTGTAAAACGGGCCAACTCATTAAGACCATGTCCATAAAAGCGTTTAGCACCGTGCCAGGCTCCTGCTCGCGGTTTATGGGCATTGCCCCATATGATCCTCAACAACAAGCCTATCGTGCTGATGCTATTTATCCCTCACTCATCCTTTTTACAGACGACAAACTCAGGGCGGAAAAAAGGATGACTAACTCAGCCAAGATCACACAGCTAAGAAGCGGTGGATCCGACTTTGGGCCCAAGTCCGACTCCAGAATCCACGCCCCAGTAGGGACCTTATTCCCTGAATTATAATGAGAGCTGGAGGCAGCGTAGCTCGCCGGGCCACCCTAGTGACCTCTTCCTCATCTAGCTGGGATAAATATGTCTTTCTTGCAGGAATTTGGTGAAAAATAGCAATTAATAATTACTCTGGAGTCAAGAACATAATAAGTGTTAAGAAAGGAGAGGCTGGAGCCGAGGGCACAGTAGGAGAACCCTCGTGCCAGAGCACGAAAGAGGGGCTAGGGAGTGGGAACTGCGCACCATCTGACCTCTGGGGTCCAGGACCAGGACAGCGGTGGACTGGGGTGGGGAGCCTGGGCTTAGCGGGCGAGGCAGGAATCCTCCCGCCCGGTGAGCTGCACCTCCCCTATCTTGCCAACAATGTTCTCAGGCTGGAGCAGAACGCCCTACACACAGCAAGTGCTCGGTAAATGCATCGATCTTATGAACAGAGACCCAGATCTCAGAAGGTCAATTACTCCTGCTGATTATGTACAATCCATGTTTGCCTCTATCGTCCTGTCTGTATTATTTGATCGTTAACGCTGAAGGCTTTAGAAGAGAAAATGAAAGTTCTCCCTTGATCCCGCCCCCACCACAACCACCACTACAGTTAACTATTGCGGCGTGTTCTCCAGGCGCATTGTTTTAAATGAAGGCTAGCATGTACGCTGTTTGTAACGCTGCTTTGTTTTCACTTGGCATCTGTCGTGAACGCGATTCTTTGAAGGCACGGGGATGACCACTGTCTCCTACCCGACCGCACAGCGTTTCCTTTGACTATGTGCTTTAATCCACTTAAGCGGCCTCCAGGGGCATTTAGAGCACTCTTCCACCATTGCAGGTCCAACCGAAAGCTGCTTCAGCCGGACACGTACCTTTTAGAACGCCTGTCTGTCCTGTAAATCCTTAGAAATGATGCAACCAGGCACGTCCGACATTTTAGTGCTACCTGCCCGGCTGCCATCCGGAAAATTTTACTACTTCGACTCAACCCGTTCATGGGAGCGGGGTCTTGGCTCCAATGAACGATTCTTCTGCCAATCCTAAAAGGAGGGGCGGTGAGGGAAAACTCTCTTCTTAATTTGCTTTTTTTTTTTTTTTTTTTTTTTTTTTCGTGCAAGGCTGAG